AGTCAGAGAAAGACAAAAATCATATGGCTTCACTCATATGAGGACTTTAAGAGACAAAACAGATGAACATAAGGGAAGGGAAACAAAAATAATTTAAAAACAGGGAGGGGGACAAAACAGGAGAGACTCACGGAGAACAAACAGAGGGTTACGGGAGGGGGTGTGGGAGGGGGGATGGGCTAAATAGGTAAGGGGCACTAAGGAATCTACTCCTGAAATCATTGTTGCACTCTATGCTAACTAATTTGGATGCAAATTTTTAAAAATAAAAAAATAACCAAAAAAACAATACACATTTACCTCTCAGATCTGGAGGTGGGGAAGTCCAAGATCAAGGCGCCAGCAGATTCAAGTGTCTGGTGAGGGCCCACTTCCTGGTTTGCAGTCGTCCACCTCCTCTCCAGGTCCTCTGGTGGCGGAAGGAGCAAGAGAGCTCTCTGGGGCCTATTTTATAAAGGCACTAATCCCATTCATGACTCCCGGCCTTGTCACCATCTGAAGGCCCCACCTCCTAATACCATCACCTTGGGGATTAGGTTTCCACTGTATGAATTCCTGGGGTGGGGGTGGAGGGGGGATAACACAAACACTGACTCTACAGCAATCCTATTAAAGTCCTTTTCGGGGCGCCTGGGTGGCTCAGTCGGTTAAGCGGCCGACTTCGGCTCAGGTCATGATCTCGCGGTCCCGTGAGTTCGAGCCCCGCGTCGGGCTCTGGGCTGACAGCTCAGAGCCTGGAGCCTGTTTCGGATTCTGTGTCTCCCTCTCTCTCTGACCCTCCTCCATTCATGCTCTGTCTCTCTCTGTCTCAAAAATAAATAAACGTTAAAAAATAATAATAAATATGGGGCGCCTGGGTGGCATAGTCGGTTAGGCGTCCGACTTCAGCCAGGTCACAATCTCGCGGTCCGTGAGTTCAAGCCCCGCGTCGGGCTCTGGGCTGATGGCTCAGAGCCTGGAGCCTGTTTCCGATTCTGTGTCTCCCTCTCTCTCTGCCCCTCCCCCGTTCATGCTCTGTCTCTCTCTGTCCCAAAAATAAATAAACGTTGGAAAAAAAAATTTTTTTAAACCACAATGTAACAGAAAGTTCTGGATGTCCAGAAGTGTTATGCCAGGTCTGCTACTTACCACTCATACGACCTGAGATTCAAGAATCTCTCTGAATGTCCCCGTATGTAAAATGGAAATTAAAATATCTGCCCCAGGGGTGCCCGGCTGGTCAGTCGGTACAGCATGGGATTCTTGATCTCAGGGTCTCGAGTTCGAGCCCCACAGTGGGCGTAGAGCTTACTTTAAAAAAGATTAAAATAAAACAAAACAAAACAAAACAAAATAAAATAAAATAAATTAAAGGGCACCTGGGTGGCTCAGTCGGTCGAGCATCCGACTTCAGCTCAGGTCATGATCTCACGGTCCGTGGGTTCGAGCCCCGCGTCGGGCTCTGTGCTGTCAGCTCAGAGCCTGGAGCCTGCTTCGGCTTCTGTGTCTCCCTCTCTCTCTCTCTTCCCCTCCCCCTCTCACGCTCTGTCTCTCTTTATCAAAAAATGAATCAACGTTTAAAAAAAGTAAAAATAAATAAAATAGAATAATAAAACAAAATAATAAAGTATAAAATAAAATAAACAAAATAGCTGATCTGCCTACTTCACAGTACGGGGGGGGGGAGGGGGCGTGGCTCAGTCTCAGGCTTTAAAACTGTAGAGCTCTTGCACGTGGAAAGTTTGGTGCTTCAAGCTGTAACCACACACTCCCACATATTACATTTCCTCAGCTCCTCACATCGCTTCGTCCCCAAAGTGGCTTGTCCTCCCCTTTGGTGTTCGTGTGCTCCCAGTAAGGGGTGGGTGAGGTGTGTGAAAAGATGACAACTCAAATCTCGATTCGGAGGAGGAGGAGAACCCCTCTGATGGCTGAGCCACGGAAGGCCTGGGCTGCAGAGGGAAGGGCCCCACTCCACTTTGTTCCGTCGATCAGCCCCCGTGCCCCCCCCCCCCCCCCCCGTTGTTCCTCCTGACTCCAGCCTCTCAGGATGGAAGGCACGAGATGCCAGGGCTTCCCAAACTGGCCTGATCGTTTCAAAAGCAAGCTTCCTGGGCTCCACCTCCCAGAGATTCTGATTCACCTGGTGAGGGTGGGACCAGGCTGAGTCACCGAAGGTGATCTGTGCCACCCCCACCTGGTCCTGGTTCCCATCCAGGCCCTCTGCATGGGCCTCGTGAGGTGCCCCAGCAAGGCAGGGCCCAGACATCTCAGGTGGCAGGAGCCCTGACAGCTGGGAGAAACCCGAGTGCACCCAGGTTATCTGATAGCTCACCTGCTCCGGCCCTGTGTTCACTTCTTGAATATCAAGATCAGGGGAAGGCTCTGGAAGACAGGCTTCCCCCCACCCCTCGCACAGGTCACCCTGCAAGCTGCCCCAGGGCCAGAGGAGGTAGTGAAAAAATATATTCTCCCTTCCTGCTCCCAGCCCTTCAGAACCAAATGCACTGCAGGCTTCCACAGCCTGCTGGCACATCTTTACAGATAACCCGGGGATTTATCTCTTGACACATCTATCAACAGGCCAGTGAGTTCCTCGAGGGCTGGGACAGGTCTCACTCCTCCCTGCGTGCCCTGCACAGGGCCAAGCGCCCCATTAGCGCGTGCTGAATATTTCACGAATAAAGGAGAGGCAGTAACACTAACCATGTTACCACAGGGTCACAGAAGGACTGATATTCACACCCACTGGGCACCCAGGGAATGCACGTGCTCACCTCTGAGGGGTGGAGGGAACCCCAACCTTAGTGCCCCAGCTGGAGGCTGAGCTTCCCCTGCCCGGATCTGCAGCAATAGCTAAATTACTTTTGACATCACAGTACCCTTTGATGTGATAAGGTATGAAAGTTACAGAGCCTCTGTACAGGAAAATGCCCCTTTCTCTCTCTCCCTGTCCCCCACCCCTCTCTGCCTGCCTGTCACAGGCGCACACACACGCACACACACCCTGCATACAATTTCTAGGTGAAGAGTTTCAGCCCTTCAAAAACAGGGAAAGCTGGGACGCCTGGGGGGCTCAGTTAGTTAAGCATCTGACTTCAGCTCAGGTCATGATCTCGTGGTTTGTGGGTTCGAGCCCCGTGTCGGGCTCTGTGCGGACAGCTCAGAGCCTGGACCCTGCTTCAGATTCTGTGTCTCCCTCTCTCTCTGCTCCTCCCCCGCTCACACTTTGTGTCTTTTGCTCTCTCTCTCTCTCTCTCAAAAATAAGCATTAAAAAGAGAGAGAGAGAGAGAGAAAGCTCTTTTTTTTTTAATACATGAATGCCAGTTAACGAATGTTGATAGAATGTTAGAGTCAAAAATGAACATTTTGCATCTCCTACTCTAGTCACTGATTTAGGCAAAGGGTCATTAATGAATGCTAAAATCATTGGGGCAATGATTGTCAGAGAACAGGGCATTCATTTGTCTCAAGGTATCACGCTACTGATAAACTATTAACTTCCAAGGTGGGGGGAAATATACTATGGACAGATTGGACATCTGCCACTTTAATCAAGTGGTCAAAATTAGTATTATCGATAGGGGCCTGACCTGGCATTATGTACCTTGAGCTACACAATATCTGTATGTATTCTTGCCAAAAATATTTCACCCAAACCCAATCATTAGCAAAGAGATACACTCAGAATGTGGGGCATTCTACAAGACAAGCGGCTTTGATTCTGAAAAACCCAGTGTCATAAAAATAAGCAAAAAGGAAGGGGACTTTAAAAAAAAAAAGAGAGAAGAAGAACGAGGAGACATAACAGCGAAAGGAAAACATAAATTTTTGGTGGGGTTTGTGTTCCCCCCCCCCCCCCCCCCCGCCTCCAAAGAGAGTTACAACGTTTTGGAGACATTCGGGAACATTTGAAAATGGACCACACAGTATTGCACCAACATACACTTTCTTAGGTTGGTGATATTGCTGTGGCTATATTGGACAATGTTCTTTTTCTTAGGAGATACAAGCTAAAATGTTTGATGTCTACACCCTTCTTTCAAATGGTGCAGCAAAGAAAAAGAAAGAAAGAAAGAAAGAGCTAGCTAGCTATTCAAAGGTAAAGTAAATGTGGCCAAAATGTAGCAATCGCAAACTCTACAGGGTGAGCACAAAGTCTGGAAACATGGCTATTTTATTTTTTTACAGGTTGAAGATGTCCTTGATGACATTATGAATCCTTCCTCTTTCCAGACTGTACAGGCACCCTGCAACGAAGGCTATGTAGTTTACATTGAACTATCCTTTCAACTTTCCTGTAGGTTTGAAATCTTTTAAAATGGAATGTACAGTGGGGGAAGGAATCTCGGCTCTAGACTAAGCCTCGAGCCCCCAAATCAGGATTCTACTCTCCAGGGAAGGAACCTAGAAAAAGGAGCTGACGAAGGTCAAGGCGGGCTCCCTCCCTGGGCTTGTTGGGCTGTTTAAATAAAACCAGGCAATCGTTTGTGCAGGTAAAAGGCCAGGGGAAAATTACCAGGCTCTGGGTCTTTCCTGAATTCCTTTCCCCTCCCCTTTCCCTGCTTAGCTCCCTGTGACCTTCACTCTTGTGAGAGAAGGGGAGGGGAGGGGAGCCGGGGACGCAGGAGGGTCTGTGTGGCTCTGGGACCCCAGACATAACCCGGTTGCCAAAAGAGAAAGGGTAAGGCTTGCTCTGATCTTTCCCACTGTCCTCAGAGTCCAGCAGGTGGCTGTACTGGATATGGGCACGGGTCCAGCCGCACAGGTCGGGCCCTCTAAGTCCTGCCCTATGTTGGAGGGGCTAGAAGCCTGAGAGCTAGATTTCTCAGAATCTTCTGCCAGCCAGGATTTCCTTTGGAGCCCACTAGTGAGAGGCACTTGCAGAAACCATTACTCCTTCTCTGGCAGCGGAATGGCAAACTCAATGCCAGTTTGCAAACCAGCAATGTCCTCTCGCGCGCCTCATGGTAGCCATACCCCCTGGGGATACCAAGGAAGGGCACTGACTGGAGCTGGGACGGCACCTGCCAGTGGAGAGCGTCAGTCCGGCCCCCAGAGCCCACCTGGCACTGTCCTGGGATCACAGAAACATCTGGTCATCCCCCTTGCCCAGGGGAGGGGGCTCTCTGCAGCCAGGCCTCTTGGAGTCGGGGCAGGAGGGTCAGCAACAGAGAGTCTAGCACAGCCAGACCCTCCCAGGAACACCGAAGACCCCTGGAAAACCAAGAAGCCTGGATGTGACTGCCTCAGTTTACCAACTTCAATCTTCACCATCCACCGGTACGAACCCCCCAGCCCCCCCAGGCCCCTCCTCATGGGTCTTTTGCGTTTTTCCTGGGGCTGTGGATCTGTACTCAGGGCTCCCGGGGACTCCTGACACCCCCCCCCCCAACACACCTGTGATCCAGCAGCAACAGGCCCTGTACCAGCAAGGCCTTCACCTCCTGGCTTGATCCAAACACGTCCCATAGGCTCAGCTGGGATGCAAAACGCTGCCAGTGCTGGGAAACCAGAAGGGTGAGAGGGACAGGGACCGCAGGGTGGGTGGCTGGCTAGTCTGGGCACACGTCTGGGGGTGTGGTGAAGGGCAAGGGAGGGTCCCGTCCGCACAGGGGTCTCTGCAACGGACTCACGCACACCTAGAGCTGGGGTGGGGGTGGGGGTGCCTGCAGCCCTCGTCCAGGGTTCTCACCACTGCCCCACACTGCCCACCGCTTCTGCCCATCAGGGCTCGGCTGGGCCAAGGCCAACCTCCAGCTGCCAGCCCCAGAGGAACAGATGTGCGTATGTGTGTCTATGTGTGAGTACAGAAGAGACAGTGATTCCAAAAGACCCAGGAGAAGGAAGCGATGTGCCACAGCCCCCCAACCCTTACCTGGTGAGTGATCCCCACGTCTGTACGTAGCCCCATGGCCAAAACTTCCTCTAGCCTGGGAGAAAAACCATCAAGGTGTCTTGGAGAGGAGACCTGGCCGCACCCCCATTCTTCAAACCCTATGCTGGGATGTGTGTATGGGGGCTCGTGAGGCCATGCAGGACGGGGAGGGAGGGGGCAAGGCAAGGCAGGAAATTAAGTTGTGCCGGTAGGGATGGCTCTGGGGGTGCAGGCAAAGCCGGGGTGAACAGCCCTGTGCTCTCAGATGCTCACAGCTCCAGCTCGCCCAAGGGAACGCGCTTCCGGGTGCCGTGGCCAAACAGCGTCACCTCTTTCATCCAGTTGTCGGGCTCCAGGGTCTGGATCCGAGCCTCCCGGGTGTGGCCCCGGGCCCCCTGGGGCACAAATCGCCCGTGGGCCCCTGACGACATCAGCAACCTTTAGTGGCAGCTTAATGCTGTGTGTGCTCGCCAGACGTTAACTCGGTGGCTCTCAAAATGCGGTCCCTGGACAATTAGCCTCTAAGATGCTGGAAACGTAAATTCTTGGGCCCTACCCCAACCCACCCTGCTCCACCAAACTCTGGATGCGGGGCTCAGCAATCCGAGTTTTAATTCTGATACACACTAACGAGTGAGCACTACAGTGCCACAGCCACGATTTCAAGCATCTCGAAATACATATTCATTAGCTCTACAAAGTATTATTTTTTGCTGCACTTCACGTATAAAGAAACAGAGGCTTTGAGAGGTTAATAAGTGGTCCGAGATCACACAGCCGTGACATTCTGCTCCTGAGTCATCCCTTCTATGGTTCTCGGGGGACTCACCGGGCCCAACGCCAAGGTACTGACCGCACTGCCAGTAAGTCCAATTGTGGGTACTAAGCGCCCCCTGTGGGGAAGGAGGGAACAGCCCGCTCAGCGAGAAGAAGGTGGGCCCGCATCTGCTCAGGTAAGGGGCACCTGGCTAGAATGTCCCCTGTCTCAGGCCTCGAGAGCACCCGGCAGCAACCTCCCACCCCACAATTCTCCACTCCCGGCTTAGGCTGCCCATCCCCCAACTTCAGCCAGCAGCCCAAGACTCACATTGCGGGCGAAGTTGGAGACCTCATACTGGCGGAAGCCTGCCTCCCGGAGCAACGCCCGTCCCTCCTGATACATCTCAGCAGCCACCTCGGGGTCAGGAGCGGGAAGGGTGCCCCGCTGCACCTGGGTGAAGAGTGCGGTGCCCCGCTCCAGGGTCAGCTGGTAGAGGGAGATGTGGTCGTCACAGTAGCCCAGCAGTTCCTGCAGCTGCCGGAGCCACGGCCCCGACTTCTGTGCCGGAAGCCCCAACATCAGGTCCACAGATACACGTCCGGGAAAGAGACGTCGGGCCTCTGCCAGTGTCTGAAGCGCATCGCTGGCCGAGTGTGTCCGCCCCAGCAGCTGGAGCTCCTTGTCATCTAGGGACTGAGGAGAGAGGGCCAGGTATAACACGGAGGCCAGCTCAGAGGCAGACGGGAACAGGTGACCGACCTTACTGTGGACAGACACACAGGACACAGCAGGGAGCCGCAAGCAAAGGGTACCACGGGCTCCGCCTCACTATGGTTCGCTATGTGCAAAGCATTTTTAAGTACTATCTAATGCATCCTTCTAATCCTCCAACATTAGCTCCATTCTACAGATAAGAAAACGGAGGTTCAGATGTGTTACATAACTTGCTCAAGGCCATACAATGGCAAAGTCAGACCTAGAATTTAGGACTGTCTGACTCCAAAGGCAAGAGTGTTTTTGTTTATTTATCTATTTATATTATTTTAAAAGTTTTTTATAAATGTATTTTATTTTGAAAGAGAGAGATCGAGAGGGTGGGCGGGGGAGGAGCAGAGAGAGAGGCAGAGGGAGAATCCTAAGCGGGCTCCGTGCTGTCAGCGCAGAGCCCCGTGTGGGGTTCAATCTCACGAACCCAACATGACATCATGACCTGAGCCGAAATCAAGAGTTGGGAAGCTTAACCGACGGAGCCGCCCAGGTGCCCCCGAGAGTATTTTTAAATTTTACTTTTATTTTATTTTTTAATTTTTTTTTAACGTTTATTTATTTTTGAGACAGAGAGAGACAGAGCATGAACAGGGGAGGGGCAGAGAGAGAGGGAGACACAGAATCTGAAACAGGCTCCAGGCTCCGGGCTGTCAGCACAGAGCCCGACGCGGGGCTCGAACTCACGGACCGTGAGATCATGACCTGAGCCGAAGTCGGACGCTTAACCGACCAAGCCACCCAGGCGCCCCTTAAATTTTACTTTTAAAGATACTTCAAACTTACAGACCGTTTGAAAGCCAAGTACAATAAACACCTTCATTTAGATTCACCGAAAAACATTTCACCACATCTGCTTTGTCTCTAAATATACGTGTATGTGATTACAATGCTGAGCCACTTGACGGTACGTTATAGACCAGCACCGACCAAAAGAATTTTCTGGGATGACAGAAGTGTTCTCTGTGTGCACTGTCCAATGCTGTAGACACTAACCACATGTGGCTACTTAATTTCAAGTTAGTTACATTTAAATAATCGCATTCCAAGTGTTTACTGACATGTGGCCAGTGGCTACTGTATTATTAGTCACTGCAGATATAGAACGTTTTAGGAGAATATGGTAGCCGCTGACCACATGCTAGAGGGCACTTGCGATGTGGTTGCTTAAATGTAATTAACTTAAACGTTAGCCCTCAGTACCCCTAAATACTTAAGTGTGCATTTCCTAAGAACAAGGACATTCTCTTACATAACCACAATCCAATTACAGAGTTCAGGAAATGTAACATTGACACAATGCCATTATCTAACGCACAGTCAGAGTCAAACTTGTCCCCATAATATCTATTGGAGTAATTTCTTCTCCCCAGCCAAATCCAGGATCCAACTGGGTCACACATTACATTCAGCCCTCGTCGTCTCTTTCGTCTCTTAGGCTAGCTACACCGCCTTTGTCTTTCGGGCCATGACGTTTCTGATGGATACCGACTGGTTGTTTTTAAAATGTCTCTTAATAAATTCTACAGACCAGTCGTACGACGCTGTGCATATAGTTACCAACACGGATCTGTCCACTAAAAAATATGTTAAGAGGGTAAACGGATCTCAGGTTATCTGTTCTTACCACACACACAAACATTGTTTTTTAAGTTTATTTAGTTATTTCAGTAATCTCTACACTCAAGGTGGGGCCTGAACTCACAACCCCGAGACCAAGAGTTGCACGCTCCACCGAATGAGGCAGCCAGGCACCCCCAAAAAGTCTTTAAAAAAGTTTTTTTTTGTGTTTATTCATTTTTGAAAGACAGAGAGAGAGAGAGAGAGCGCACAAGCAGGGGAGGGGCAGCGAGAGAAGGGGACACAGAATCCGAAGCAGGCTCCAGGCTCCGAGCTGTCAGCACAGAGCCCAGACACGGGACTCGAAGTCACAAACCGTGAGATCATGACCTGAGCCGAAGTCAGACGCTCAACTGCCTGAGCCACCCAGGCGCCCCCCGCCCCCAACCAAAAGTCTTTTAATTTAGATTTTCGTGATGGTTCCTCACAAGTAGATTTAAGATATACATCTGGGGCCAGAATATCTCAGAAATGATGTGTCTCTTTTGGTATATCCCATCGGGACAAAGCCCCAACCCCAAACTGTATGGTTAAGTGGCAGATGTATTAGAAGAATGGACAATACTGGATATGGAAGTACCAGGAGTCAACCGGAAAAGAATATGTTTCTCCCCTACCTAAAAACCTTCAACAAGTCCCTTATCACCACCAGGCAAAACCCCAAACTCCCTTGTGTGATGCTCAAGGCTTTGGGGCCCTATCTTGCAGCCTTGCCTCCAGCCTCTCCAATGGCAAGTGACTCACAGCTCTCCAGAACATACAAGGCTCTCCCATTCCTGTGTCTTTTCCTCTCACACCCTCTCTCCTGTGGAACTCTTCCTCCTCAAAGATCACCTCCTCCAGGAAGGTTTCCAGGATTTCATCAGACTGAGACACCCTTCAGGCTGTACTCTGAAAGCTTTTTGCTGAGACTCCCTTTACTGGCAGCCTTTACCATGGTGCAGTGATCTGATGACCCTTCTGCCTCCTCCTAGGTCTCCAATCATGTAACAAAAAATTTTTCTGAGCGTCTGCTATGTGCCACGCACTATGGTGGGTGCTTGGAATACTGTGATTAAAAAAAAAAAAAAAAAGGTAGGCATGATCCCTGCCTCATGGAGCTTGTGGTCTAGCACAGCAGCAGACATGCCTCCTGGGCCCTGGCACCCAGAGGAGCCCAGTTAATGAATGTGACCAGAGGAGGGACCGCACGGAGGGTCCGGGTGCCCTGGGACGCGGTGGGTAAGATGGGTTACCTGGAGACCAATGGACAACCTGTTGATCCCTGCTGCCCCAAAAGCTGCCAGCCTAGAGCCTGGGGCCGAAGTGGGGTTGGCCTCCAATGTGACTTCGGAGTCTGCAGGCAGGTGGGCTGCCTGGTCCACCGCCTCCAGGACAGCAGCCACAGTGTTGGGACTGGCCAGGCTGGGGGTGCCCCCACCAAAGAACACAGAGTCCACCCTGGGGAGAGAAGATGGAGGAGATGAGACTTGGGGGGAGCCCCCCCGGGACGTCTGCACCGGTCCTAGCCGCTCGCCCAATTTCCAAGACCCCGCCTACAGCCCCAGCACCCACCGCCGCACGCCGCTGAGCCCCAGCAGCGTCTGCGCCTCAGTCACCAGACAGCTCCGCATGGCAGCCTCCTCCACGCCGCGGGGGACGTACTTGTTGAAATTGCAGTAGCTGCAGCGCTTCTCGCAGTACGGCCACTGGGGGCAGGGGTGGAAGGGCCGGACGAGGTGTGACCCCAGCGGCTCCAGCCACTTGCAGGGTTCCGTCGCACGCATCCCCACCCCAAGGTCGTCAACAGCGGCTCAGCCATCTAAGCCACACAACTCCCCAAGGAAGGTGGGATGGGGAATATTATGCCCCCTTCGTTAGGAGAAAACTGGGGCTCAGCGGGAAATCACTCGGTCAAGGTCACCGAACTGGTGAGCGCACCAAGAGACTTCAGGTCTCCGGACCGGGACATTTCCTTGCCAGGGTACCGCGTCCCGTCCCAGACCTCGCCTGGGGGCAGGGAGGGACGGCAGGTGGCTTCACGGCGTGACCAGCCGCCACGTTGACCCAGCCCCGCCGCCGCCGCGCCCCGCCCCACTCACGTGCACGTAAAGCGCCGCGCGCGAGCTCGGGGGCGCAGGACTCCGGGATCCCTTGGCGCCCTCCGCGTGGCGACGCCTCTGGGCCATTTTGGTCGCCGCCGCCCAGCCGCAGGCCCGGGCCCCGGGGAGCGCCATGGCGCCCGCTACGGCGGGGAGCGGCCGGGTGCGCGCAGAGATCGGCAGACACGCTCCCGGGACGCACGGGAGTGCGCAGAGCCGCGCCAGCCGGGTCGCCCCGGCAGGAGGAAGAGGGACTGCGTGACCGCGCGCCGCGTCCCCGGACGGGCTGGGAGGGCCCCGGGCCTCGCCTCTGCGGCGCCACCTGGTGGGCCCGGACGCGCTCACCGCGCCCGCCCGTCAGTCCTTTCCCGGAGAGGGTTGTGGGCTGAGCCGCTTCGCCTGCCTTTTGGCCCCCTGTCCGAGGGCGAGTTCCCCGCCTCATGCAGGAGCTCTTGGTCCGTTCAGTCCTTCACACTGTATGTGCCTGACTCAAAGCTGGGGACTGGGGACACCTAGATACATAAGATCAGGTCGCAGTACAGGTGCGACAGGAGAGAGACAAACCAACAAGAGACAGCAGGCAATAGATACTAACTCAAAACCTGCTGGATATCAGGGCAGTGTCCTCAGTGCTGTGTGGCTGGTCTGTTGCAGGGGCCGTGGAGTCAGTGGGGAAGGAGAGGGCACCTTGGGCTGGATGTTGAAGGAGCAGAGATTCCCAAGGACAATTAGTTTGGCCAGCAGAGTAAGCTGTCATCTCCTGGGTCAGGCCCACCTGGGCACCTGCTGGGAGGAAAGTCACAGACTGTGTCCTTGGGAGGGACGGGGTGCAGGTGAAGGGCTGGGAAAGCAGGCATCTGAAGAACTCTTTGATAAAGTGGAAAGATCACGGGCTTTGGAGCCAGATATCTGGGTTCTAATTCCAGCGGTGTGGCCTTGGGGAAGACTCTGAACTTCTCCGAGTTTGTTTCACCATTTGTGAAATGGGGCAAGTGCCTATTTGGGAGGGTTGGTGGGAAAATTCCAAGAGAAAATACATATGAAAGCACCGAGCCTAGGGCTGGGCACCCAGAGCACGCTAAACTTAAGTTCTTTTTCTAAAAAGTAAAGAGGACACCTCTGCTGCAGGGAGGTAGGTATTCAAAACAGCAGGAAAGTTTCCGCCTCTGTGAACTGGAAAGTGATGTGCCTTTTGGAACACAGCTGTTTTTATTTCTTGGGTCAAGCTACAGTGGCTTGAACTGGCCCAGCCCCTCAAGGAAGCCCCAGCTTCATCTTTTTTTTTTTTTTTTGAAATCAAAATTGGGTTGGTTTTGGGGGGGGCGGGGAACACAGGATGTGGGATGATCCCTAAAGGGTATGGAGTTTCCTTTTAAGGTGATGAAAATGTTTAAAACTGACTTTGGAAAACTCATGTAGCATTTGTGTGTCAACTATATACTTCAATTAAAAAAAATCGACTTCATGGGGCGCCTGGGTGGCTCAGTCGGTTAAGTGTCCGACTTCAGCTCAGGTCACGATCTCGCGGTCCTTGAGTTCGAGCCCCGCGTCAGGCTCTGGCTGACAGCTCAGAGCCTGGAGCCTGCTTCCGATTCTGTGTCTCCCTCTCTCTCTGCCCCTCCCCCATTCATGCTCTGTCTCTCTCTGTCCCCAAAATCAATAAACGTTAAAAAAAATAAAAATTAAAATTAAAAAATCGACTTCAGGGATGACCGCACGTATCTGTGAACATACTGTAAACCATCGATAGGATACTTTAAGTGGGTGAATTGGATGGTATGTGAAATTAATTATATACTAGTAAATCTGTTATCATTTTAATTTTTTTAAGTATTTTTATTTATTTCAAGGGAGAGAAAGCGCGTGCATGCAAGTGGTGAAGGGGCAGAGAGAGGGAGAGAGAGAGAATCCCAAGCAGGCTCTGTACCACCAGTGCAAAGTCTGATATGGGGCTCAAACTCACAAACCGCAAGATCATGACCTGAGCGGAAGTCGGATGTGTAACTGACTGAGCCACCCAGGCGCCCCAAGCTGTTACTGTTTATTTTTTATTTTATTTTTTATTTTTTTTTCAACGTTTATTTATTTTTGGGACAGAGAGAGACAGAGCATGAACAGGCGAGGGGCAGAGAGAGAGGGAGACACAGAATCGGAAACAGGCTCCAGGCTCTGAGCCATCAGCCCAGAGCCCGACGCGGGGCTCGAACTCACGGACCGCGAGATCGTGACCTGGCTGAAGTCGGACGCTTAACCGACTGCGCCACCCAGGCGCCCCGCTGTTACTGTTTAAAAAAAAAAAAAATTTAACATTTATTTTTTGAGGGACAGAGACAGAGCATGAGTGGGAGAGGGGCAGAGAGAGAGAGAGAGGCAGTCACAGATTCTGAAGCAGGCTCCTGGCTCCACGGTGTCGGCACAGAACCCGACGTAGGGCTTGAACTCACGAACCTCGAGTTCGTGACCTGAGCCAAAGCCGGATGCTTAACCGACTGAGCCACCCAGGCGCCCCAAGCTGTTATTGTTTTAAAAAGGATACTTCTTGGGGCACCTGGGTGGCGCAGTCGGTTAAGCGTCCGACTTCAGCCAGGTCACGATCTCGCGGTCCGTGAGTTCGAGCCCTGCGTCGGGCTCTGGGCTGATGGCTCAGAGCCTGGAGCCTGTTTCCGATTCTGTGTCTCCCTCTCTCTCTGCCCCTCCCCCGTTCATGCTCTGTCTCTCTCTGTCCCAAAAATAAATAAACGTTGAAAAAAAAAATTAAAAAGGATACTTCTTGCTGGACTAATCTGACAACAAAGTGAAAAAGCAATGATCTGGGTTCATGTCTCAGAGGGATCAAGTGAGGATTAAATGAAATAGATAATGCACACCAAAGTTGGCACCTTCGTGACAAGGAACCGGAGGGTCTGAAAGCGTCCCTCCCTTCTCCATCCCATAGCAGCTGTCAAGAGAGCACACCAGCAAGAGACCAACCAAAGAAAACAGAAGCTCTTTATGCCAAATCACAAAGACAGACAGGGGAATGTGGGTGGAGGGCAGCAAGGGCCTGGAAGGATCCCCCCCCCCCCCCGGCTCTTATTCACAGGTTTAGATGTTGTTCCATCTGCTGTCGAAGTTTGAATTTCTGGATCTAGAGGAAAAAGAACAGAGTGAGAGCCAGGCTCAGGGCCTCTGCCAACCATGGTTCCCAACTGGCTTGGTTTGCCTGGGACTGAGGTGTTTCTTAGGGTAAAGTGGGGAAAGTTTGTGGCAAGCCAGACTCTTTTGCCCATCACGGAGGGAGGCATAGGTCCAGCCACCTGGCCTTCTGTTCCTAGGACCCCAGGCCACCCTGCCCCTCTCTGGTCTCCTTTACTCACTTTTCCTGAGACAGTGAGGGGGTAGTTTGTGACAAACACGACGTATCGGGGAATCTTGAAGTGGGAGATCTGCAGACCAGAGGGAGATAAAGCGTGAGGATGGCGGCGGGAGGGGGGGGAAGGGGGGAGGAGGAGGGGGCAGTGGGCTGCCTGGCTGGCTGGCAGGGAGAGGGGGTTGAAGCACAAAGCAACATCAGCGTGGGGCGGGTTGAGGTTCCTACCTTCCCTTTGCAGAAAGCCTTGATCTCCTCCGCTGTAGTCTTCTCTCCCTTTTTCAGGCGAATGCAGGCACAGATTTCCTCCCCCATCCGGTCGTCCTTCACCCCCACCACCTTGCAGCGCCAGAGACAGATGTCAGACATTGCCATGCCCATCCCTGTTTCCTGCTCCTGGGGGGGCTCACCTGGGCTCGCCTGGGCTGGGTGCCTCACCTGCACTTCCTGAACCTGTGGGTGTGTGTGAAAGAAGTCTTCAAGCTCGGCGGGGTAGATGTTCTCACCACCCCGGATGATCATATCCTTGGAGCGGCCCACGATCTTGCAGAAGCCCTGATTGTCCATCACGGCGATGTCTCTGTGAGGAAAGCCCAGGGATGACCTCTCACCTCTGCCTCTTCTGACTGGCTTAGCCATCAAACATTTATTGAGCACCTATTGTGTGCCTCATACTGCCCTAGACTCTGGGGGATATGGCATAAATAAGACGTTCTGGATATATGATTTTCGTGGCTAACTTTTTTTTCTTTTTTTTTTAAATCATTCGGGGGTCAGTTTAAACACGTCCACCTTAAAGAGGTTTTCTCTGACCCCCCAATCTAAGAGAAGCTCCTGTCCCCACCACTGCTGCTTTCTTTCCTCTGACCCTGTTTTACTGTCTTCCTGGCGTTTATCCACGTCTGAACTGATCTCTTTTGTATCTGTCTTCCTCCCCAAGATGTGTGGAAAGTCAGGGAAGGACCCCGTTCATCTTGCCTTCCTTTGGACCACCAGTGTCCAGAACAGTGCTGGCCCATCAGAGGTGCACGATAAGAATTTGTTCACTCGAGGGGCGCCCGGGGGCTCAGTCGGGTCCGATTTCAGCTCAGGTCATGATCTCGCGGTTCAGGAGTTTAAGCCCCACATCGGGCTCTCCGCTGTCAGCGTGGAGCCCGCTTCGGATCCCCTGTTCCCTTCTCTCTCTGCCCCTTCCCAAGCTTGTGCGCTCTCTCTCTCTCTCTCTCTCTCTCTCTCAAAAATAAATGCTAAAAGAAGAAGAAGAAAAAAAGCTTTGAGAAAAAATTGTTTTTCTCAATTGACAGATGAGTCTTGGCTCAGGTTTTACAGACACCCGTATAGCGCCCTGTCCTAGGCGCTCTCACCCATGCTGTGTTTGATCTTTTTGGGTGCTCTGTGCAGGGAGCACGATCATCCTCATCTGACACATTTTGGAAATGAAGTCTCCAAGATGTGAAGGAGCCCTCTTGACAAACAAGTTCTCTTTGTGTTAGTTTGATGTTTCCAGCTAAGACTCAGGCCCTACCCCCCCCCCCCCCCCCCCCCCCCCCCCCCAGCCTCTCCTCGGCCCCCAGCTGCCTCCTCACCCTGTGTGATACCACTTGTCCTGTCCAATCGCTTCCTCGGTCTTCTGGGGCTCGCCCCAGTAGCCCAGCATGACGCAGTACCCTCGGATGCACAGCTCCCCGGACGTGTTCAGCTCGGCCAGCGTCCCCGTCTTCATGTCCACAATCTGGGCCTGGGACCGGGCAACTTCAGGCTGGGGCCTCCTGCCTGCCCTCTCGCCTCAGGAAGGGGGGGGGGCCCCCCCGGCAGGGGGGGCGGGGGGAGCTTCGCCTTTCCAGCCCCTGGCTCTGCCCAGCCCAATCAGTGAGAGCTGCTCTGGGTCAGCCTTCAAGGTGCAAGGGGCCCTCAAAGGGACAGGCTGCCTGGGAAACTAAGTGTTTATGCCAAGCAAAAAGACGGGCTCTGTAGAAGGCAGGGGCGGGGGGTATGGGAGAGAAAAAAACTGTGTAGGAAAAATCTCTGTGCTCTGGCTCCTCTTTGAGGCCATCCTGGCTGCCCCTGAAACAGACAGTGGGGCTTGGCAAAAACACACCTCAGACAGGAAGGGAGGCTGCGGGAGTTGAGCTGGCGGCTGCTCAAGGCCACTGTTCCAGCTCTTTCCTCTCAGGCCTTATCCTCAGGCTCAGAAAAAGCCCTAGGCCAGGCCTGGGGAGGACCTTGCTGCTGGGGGCTCGGGGTGCTCTGGGCACCTTGAGTGAGCTGTGTGGCTGTCTGATAGAAAGAAATGGGGGTGCCCGGGTGGCTCAGTCAGTTAAGTGTCCGACTTCAGCTCAGGTCATGATCTCACAGCTCGTGGGTTCGAGCCCCGTGTCAGGCTCTGTGCTGACAGCTCAGAGCCCGGAGCCTGCTTCGGATTCTGTGTCTCCCTCCTTCTCTGCCCCTCCCCTGCTCATGCTCTGTTTCCCTCTCTCAAAAATAAAGATGAGGGGTGCCTGGGTGGCGCAGTCGGTTAAGCGTCCGACTTCAGCCAGGTCACGATCTCGCGGTCCGTGAGTTCGAGCCCCGCGTCAGGCTCTGGGCTGATGGCTCAGAGCCTGGAGCCTGTTTCCGATTCTGTGTCTCCCTCTCTCTCTGCCCCTCCCCCATTCATGCTCTGTCTCTCTCTGTCCCAAAAATAAATAAATGTTGAAAAAAAATTTTTTTTAAATAAATAAATAAAGATGAAAAAACATTTAAGAAAAGAAAAGAAAGCAAGCAATAAATGTCCCCAAGGAATGCGCCCCAGTGGAGTGATAGGAGGTGGGGTCCAAAGGTCTCCATCTGGGGCTAACCTCTGTGTGAGGCATAATTCTGCCCACACTTTCTGCCTTCTGTTCCACAGTGTCCTCGGCGAAGTTCATGAAGGTCACGGGGCTGTTCTCTGTTGTTCCGTAAGCCACCTAGAGGGGTGGGGGAAGGCGTTTGGAGGGAGCACTGGAGATGCAGTGTGAAGGGTGAGCTACCCTGGGGGAATGTGAAGGAACCCAGGAGAAAGTGGAGGGCAGTGGGGTGATGGGAAAAGAGGCACCCCGGCAGAGGGGACGAGCTCAACTAGCAGGGGCCCCAGGTCTGAAATAAAATTGAGATCAAGGAACATTCTTTTCTAGCCAGGGCTCTCTGTTTCTTGCTTCCTAGAGCAGCCATGTGCCTGAGCCCATAGTTTCCTGCGTTCCCGACGCCCCAGCCTTCTCTCCTTCCTCCCCAGGCCGTCTCAGCACCCCCTCCCTGATTTCAGGCCGCAACATCCCCTCTCCCTCCCTTCCAAACTGAAGGTCCCATAAACTTGATGAGAAAGCCAGCCTGCCTTGGCCCAGCTGGAAACTGCACAGACACAACCCACCCACCCTCCTGAAACCCCGAGATCAATGCCTGGCCTTGTGGTGGGTGACCCCAAAGCTTTGGAGGGTTTCCTGTAAGTGTATTTCCATCACAATTAAAATATAGCCAGAGCAGGGTTTAAAAGCCAGTCACACACACACACACACACACACACACACACACACACACACTCCCACCCAACACTTCCAGTGGTTGGAACATCCTGAGCAACAGAAAACCAGAAGCCAACCTTGGAGGAACCTAAATACCATCAGGGAATGTTCTGAGCCAACTATGACCCCCGTCTAAGGCAACGGGTGAAAGGGGCTTAGGAGAGGGGCTAGGTACCCTGTAATCTAGGCTCCTGATCAACACAGACAACAGACCTTTGTCCATCCTCCACCCCACCCCCACCCCACTCCCCACTTCCTCTGTGGTAGCTGGCACACCGCTGGGGCCCCTCCCCTCCCCCTCTCAAACCCAGACAACAGCCTCTACCAGGCAGCCCAGGGCTCCTACCCTGCCTACCTACCCTCCCCTTTCCGCAGGAATCCGGACACCGTGGCTGGCAAATGGACACACAGAGACCTGGTCAGCTGGGGGACGGCTGCCCACAGGACCTAAGCTGTCCAGAGCTGATCGCTGGTAGCCAGGACCTGACCCCCCTCCCCCCCCCCACCTCACCATAGTCCTGGGGCCACTGCCCAGGTGTGGCCTCTGCCAAGTACACCTTGGCGCCACTCTGGCCGCCACCCTGAGAGACCCCTCAGGGGCAGGTCCTGACCGCTGGCGGTGGGGATGAAGAGATGGAGATATTTTAGGGAAATGAAGGAGGGGTTCGGGGAGAGATGGTGTGACTGTGCTGGTTCAGTTGTCCCCGCTCCGCGTCTGTGGTCTTCAGGTGTGTCTGCGAGTTCTACGGGTC